ATTAGCGTATTTATCTGTTGTTTTAAGGTTGGCTTCTGTTGAAATACGAATGTGATAAATATCTGTTTTAAAACTTTATATGGACGAAACTACGAGTTCGTATGTCGGTAAGAATTAATATAAGCGGTCCAAAAATGCAGCTGCCACTAGAGAAACTATTTCTTGAATGACAGGTGGTATTCTTAATATTGGTTGTAAAGCAGGTGGTATAACCATAAAATACTTGTTTTAAGTATTTTTGAAGAAATTGTATTTCTTTTAGTATAATTATTTTAGTATGTTTATGTTGGACTCATGAGAATTGAGACGTTTGATATCTATCTATGGTATTTAATTAATTCGAATGTTTTGAATATGAAAAAATAATGTAATGAAAAGATAAGGTAATTTTAGATTCCTTAAAAAACTCTGTCGTAAACGGATTTTCTCTAGTGGACAATTTCTAAATATTTTTGTTGAATTGCCTTTATATTTCTAAGTAAATATTTTATTAGATACAATAAGATTAAATCAAAACTACTAGTAGCCCAATTTGCAGATGTAACAATAATATATAAGTTGCCTAAAGGTTTGCATCTTAACTTATATATTTAAACATACTTTGCACTATAAGGAATAGGTTTGCACTATAGGAAACATACCCAGGTATAGGCTAACAGCCTGCGCAGAATAACACACACACATACTCAAGAATCGCTGCAGTCGCATCTTGAATAAGCGTGTCCCTGGCTATTTAACGGCCTTACCAAGGTTGCGTCTGTGTGCACCCAGGCCTTACATGGTGTAGTCCAACCTGGAGACCTCGAAATTGTTGTGGTCTCGACAATCTCTAAATTGATTGATTATTATCTACTAGAAGTGATTAGCATGGACCATGAATTGATTCGTGCACATGGATTTTCTATGTGGGCAATTAACACTTAGCACGATGAAGAAAAAATTAGACCACCACAAAACACTACCGACGTGCGTAATATTCAGGCGGATACATAATCCTTTTAACAAAAAGTTAAATAAAAGCAGTAAAATAAAACAGTGAATCAAAGTTCAGATAAATTAACATTGAAAAAAAATGAAATCAAGCGTACATATCGTAAATTATTTTAATACGTTCCAGGAACTAAAAGAACTCCAACAGTAATAAATTATTACATAGATAAACATACAGTGCACTTAATGTTAACTCAATCATGAAGATAGAGCGATTTGCATCCATTATGTACATTGTCGGTTATGCCTTGCACAGCACAGTTTTAACCTGAGATATTTTATATTAAATTGGCAGAGTCATGTTACTTTATATTAAAAACAATATATATTTTTGAGCAAAGCCGCAGGACTTTTATAAAGTACTAGCTGACCCGGCAAACGTCGTTTGGCCGGGTAAATTATTTCTAGGAAACATTTTTTTAGTTCAATAAAAATAACTATCTACTATAATAAAAAATAGGGGTTAATCGTAGGACGTGTGACGTGGATTGTATGTATTTTTGTATGCTGTATCATAAAAATAAAAAAAGGTTATGTCTAAAAAATAAATATAAAAATTTAGGGGTGAGGCCACCCTTAACATTAGGGGGATGAAAAATAGATGTTGTCCGATTCTCAGACTATGCATAAAACATTTCATAGGAATCGGTCGAGCCGTTTCGGAGGAGTATGGGAAGGAACACGGTGACACGAGAATTTTATATAAAGTATGTATGTAACATACCTAGTTTTAGAAACGAATTTTGAGAGTATTATTATTAAACATTTAATAATAAATTCATACAATAATTGTTTCGCTTAAAATTCTTACTATTCGTATTAGTTGTGTTACTATAAGTTATAAAATTAAGAATAGTTTTGTTAGTGTTCTCATATTTATATTTGTATGGCCCCTTTTTACACAGGTAAATATAACGATGACTATAATCGAGCGATCTAGAAGCATTAATACATATTTCAACATATATATACTATTTACTACTGAAGTGTGGACAGTTGAATTCATCATATTCTTTTCAGTTCCGTACTCGCGCTTTCAAAACAAGATGAGTAACTCTGTTCCTTCATTCAAATAGCACGGACATAGCGGTGGACCATACACCAAATCGTTACGTTAATAAAAAAATTATAAGCCAATTGATGTCAACAGCTCATAGAAGGATGTTATTAATACAAATCTCACGCGGTCCAGCATTTATTGGATGATTGTAACATATGGTTACAGGGGTAATAATTTTCAATTAAATTGCATCAGTAAATATGATGCACTTACGGCCGGGGTTTAAAAAGTACCAGACGTTGTTGTTACGAGTCGTGGATTTATTTTATAGTTGTATTGAATTCTAGACAAAAATCTTTAACTGTAACCGTGATCCTACTATCGTTTATCAGCATATCGCCAGTCAATTTAATTGCAAGTGGTCAATTGATGTAATTATCATACAATTTTATATTGCGATCCCTAGTCATACCTGGATACTTCACACATGGAATCTTAGGTATATAGGACCCATTGTACAATTTATAGAATGATGCATTTATTACATGCATATTGTTAGAAATGCACTTCGAGTCAATCATTGCATACCGCATTGTATTAACGATATAATAACATTATAATAACAATTATAAAATAAACCGTACTCATGTAAATAGTGTGATACTATAGGGAAGAACTGGTTCGTAATGTCAGATAAGGTCTTAAAATTATTATTCTTACGTCACAAAACAGATTCACTTCGAACGGATCCGCGAAAAACTAACACGCTTTATTTTTTTTATTTTTTAGGAAATGGAGAAGAAAATGTATTTCAAAGCAGATTATTTAAAATAAAACTATACCATTTTATAAAGCTACAATCACGTATCATGCTTGTCAGCAGTTATGGCAGAGGATTGTCAATCAAATGTTTATAATTTTTTGAATTTGTCGGTTTCTAGCTATCAAGTTAAACGAGATATGATTTAGGGGCTCTTTAAATGCCCAAAGGTGTGCACTTAGCATGTTGTATGGTGATTAAGTCATTATAATACCACTCTATTTCATTCCTACGATTAATTATTACTAATTTATATCTTATTACTCAGACCGAGAATGTCAGAACAATTATAAGGAGAATAATAAATTCTTTTACTACAGTTATTGATAAAAATTCTTATACTTAACTACTGCTGAGTATTAAGAATTTATGGATTCTACACCAGCTAGAAATAGAATATTATAATCCATATATCCATTATCCATAGTTATAATAAAATTTAAATAAATTAATAAATATCTTTCATAACGAACACATAAATAATAAATAATATTTATATTATTCAGAAGTCCAAGGATTTTTTAAATGGGCCGAAATATCTACAATCGGTATTGCACCATCTTCTTCATCTTCAAAACTACCATCCACTTCATCGTCATCTTACCATTCTGCATCTTCCATACTATTTCATCTCTTATTATGCATAACTGCTCTTGAGCTCGCTGAACTACTTTAACTTTTTTTTGGGTTTTGGATGTAAATTTTTTAAATGCTGTAGTAAGGTTTTGTTAGATGTGGCCCCCAAGTATATAAAAAACATTTTTTTATGGTTCTCATGTAATAAATATATAGTATGTGATGATTTTAAAAAGAATATAAAACATAGCCTGAGCAGAAACTCAGTAATCTGTTAGTGTACTCCAGTGTCTGCAGCCGCTGAGGAATAAGTATATTAAATGGGTCACATAACCTTTAAACAAGTGTGCAGCGTAGTCTAAACTTGCACAGTTGAATGAACACCCTTGTAATTTCACCACATAAGTTATTTATAACCCTGACATTGTTAAATCATGATATTATGATCAGAATTTATAACACAGCTTTTATGGCTTGCATTGTTAAAACTATGAAGGTTTATTTTATTAGATGTATTGGAGAGTAGCAAGTTCTCTCTTCTGAAAGATAGAGGAGGCTAAATATGGATAGGGAAAACTGGGGCTGTCTTATCACCAGCTGGACACAGCTAGTAAAATAATATAATACTATGATGTTAAAATTGGTAATAATGTTAAATATCACAATATTTATCTATATTAAGTTAACAAAAACAACACCTTGTAACAGTAGCATTAAGTTGAATAAGTTATTTATGTTTTCATAGTTCTATGAACAATTAAAACTTGAATAAGTTATTTATGTTTTTATAGTTCTATGAACAATTAAAACTTATGCTTATGCAAATATTTCAATACAGTTATATATAATAGTAGTCGAAAGAAATTGTAATCTAATTAATTGATGTGTAAAATAACATAACTTTGTGGTTAATGACAATAAAAAAACTATGAATAAACAAAATTAAACAGTGTAACAGGAAGTGAGTACAAACATATGACTATCTTATGTTTTATCAGCACTATATCATTGCTGATAAAGATAAAACATCCTTCAGATAAGAGATATGAGAGCCTCTGGTAAACAATGATATATTTCATCTGTTTTCCTTTCATTACAAAATTATTGAGCTGGTTGCGTAATGCATGCAATGCATATCAACACACAAAACATTACGAAACCTGACACAGTATTATCTTCTTTGTTTGTATTTTAGTTTACAATAAGAAAAATAATATATTACTATTTTTGTAACTGCAACATAACAGAATATTTTCACAATTTAAATAACAACCGCTTAACGAAAGTAATGGAGTTTTATTAACAATATGTGGCTTGTCCCTTAAAATTATTATTAATTGCTGTTATCATTATAATATCTTCAGGGATTAAGACATGAAGAAGTAAGACAAATTACAGAATAGAGATTAGCATTTCATCAAGTTTGAGCACAAAAAGCTCCTAATATATATAATATATTCATATTAATTATTCAGTTTTACACCAATTTAGTATAGAATTTTGCTTATGTTTTTCAAACTGCAATTATGGTAAATTAAAAAAAAAACCATTTATGTACATTAGAGTATAACAGTTATGATTTTGAAATATGGGCAGAAAAGCATTGGATACGCCCTAAAGCAAGGATTCTTTGTTAATAAAATGACTCACCCGTTGCAATTCCAAGGAGTGGTTATAGAACCGCAGGAGTTTGTCAACTAAAGGTTTTACGGCGCGCCAGGCTCTTTCCTGAGTAATCGTAGAAGGGTCAGCTATCGCCTCTCGTATCTCCTTTCCAGCACCCTTATAACATTGTATTTCTTCTAAAATCTTATCGGAATTAAACAAAACCCTTTGCACTTCTTCATACACATCTCGCTCTGTATCAGTGGGCGCAGCATTCTCAAAATCCAAAAATATATCGTATCGTGGCGATGAACAGCAATTCGAATCGTCTCGAGCAAGCAAACTCAATAATTTACCCATTTTGTATATTTACTACAGTTTATTATATTAAAAATACCTCCTCGACGATAGAAATCACAATTTGCATTGCCTTATACCCCCGGAATATAGATAATTTACGTAGTTTTAAATCACGTTAATTTTCACTATCACATTCACAATAATATTGTTTGTTCTATTATACGTTTGACTATTAAGATAAATTATAACAAATACATTTTATAAGAATTTGTTGCTGATACCCCACCAAGAACGCAAAGGAAACTGCGAAATGCGATTGCCGATTGATGAAATTCGAGCAATGTGACACTTGACAATGTAATCTTGAAATATGGTGTCAGTTGTCATGTTTGTGTTTTGTAAAGAATAAACACGGTCCATAGACTCGTCCGATCTCAAGAATACATCTGTCACAATTTGAATTTTGCCGCGTAGAATTCACTTCAGTTTTCTTCTACCCGAATCGGAGGAAAATAATATCAACTCACATACTACAGAACTAAATAGCAAAATATTATTAAGGTTTGAATTATATTGTGTAGTCCAATAAAGAAGATCTGCTGAGGTAGATATAAAAAAAGTAAGGTAATATTTTAATAATTTATTTCATCATACGTGTATAACATCGACACATTGCCAAATGTATTTTACATTCGAATTTATATTACAAACAGTTTACTTACTAATAAAAAAAATCTATTTACAAAATTGTTTTATCGTGATTTTAATAATAAGTAAATCTACGTAAATATTAAAGTATGTTCTCATTTAAGCACGCTCGTGAGCAATTATTCTGCCTATTCAATCATCAAGCTCTAGGACAACAATAAATATATTTTTATGGAATTTTTATACAGTATGTATTTATAATTAAACACATTTAATTAAGGGTGATGTCAGGCCACACAAATTCAGTAATATTTTAATTTAAGACCACTACGGCAGCTCTGACACCATGTTATTTTATTTTATATTATATTCATTAAAACATAAATATATTAAAAATGAAGCCCTGTATAAAATTGTATCTACATTTAAAGACATGGACAGACCAAGTTAATATAATAATTATTTTCATAAACACTCTTGCTAAAAAAAAGTTCCGATATTATTCGTATAATTTTAAAGATCAGTCTAACATTCGATAAAATTTACATTTTTATTTCTACCTGTTATGTATTAAATAAGGCTATGGCCAAATTAGAGGCCAGATGTTTTAGTTGACTGAAAAAAAAGAAATTAAAAGTTTGTGTTTACACTATAAAACCTTAGCCACAAAACAAAGAATAGACATTAGAAAAAAATTGAAGTTCTGAAATGATTTTTTTTTCTTCAGGCTACTCTGTAGCGTGGTGTATAGTTTATAAATGTACATTAAATACTTATAAATCAATTATGTTTCGAATGTGGCAGGTACGCATTTAAATATCTGTTTTTGAGAATTCAATAACCTAGAAGGATTAATAATGATTTATTCGCATACCAACATTGTCGCTTATTGCGTGAATGAATGAAAATTTCTATATATCCTGTATGCAACGTATGAATAGGGCTTCGACTCGTCCAACAGTACAACTCATAAACACTTTGTGAATAACGACATAAATTTATAAGATTCGGAGTCGAAACTCAGCGCGTACTGTGACACCCGTAAGTCCGTAAGTCCCGAGACCTATCGCTAAGTGTGGCTCGCTCGTCGTGGCTAAACGTATTTTAAAAACGTATAGGACTTACGGGAGTCATTGTGCGCATACCCTTAGTCTCGACTCAATCTTACCCAAAGACACTCAGACTAAGACACCGTTCGCACAACAATCATTAAATAAAATTTATTATTATGTCAACCTTAACCTACCAGCTACAATACAATTATCTACACTTGCTATGCTTAGTCTTAAATAATTTGGTGTAAAGATCCGTCTTAGAGTTTACCTAATTAAAATTGTTTTATTTTATTACGCACCTATAATTCCTTGAAAATATTATAAGTACCTACATTGTTTGATCCAGTGCTATCTTAATAATGGTGCGTGGGTAAGATTCAGGTTTAGCGTTAAGTATGTCATAAACGCGTATTAACATGCGCGAGTCAGTAAACCTTAGTCTCGTCTCTATTTCTTACCCTTAACCTTACCTTAGCTTTAATCTTAGAGATTAGAAATTAGTTGATGACAGTTTCCAGATGACCACCGGATCAAATATGTAGATTAAGTTAGGATTAAATATAAAATCATTACTTAATAGTGCAATGAATAAATGCCTTGAAATGCGAGTATTTCGCAGTAAATAAACGAGTGTTATTAGAACATAGAAATATGTAATTATAAAATTGCAATGTGCACCATGTTTTTCTAACAACCATAATAATATTAAACTAGGAACGGTTTTACGTCATATAATTAATTATGATTAAAATGTTGCTATTCAAAACTGATAAATCTAGCAGATTTTTGAATTTGTAGCCACTCATTCCACGACGTAAGCTGTTCAGTGGGTATGGAAATATTATACTTTAAATAGTAAAAACCGATTCAAAAGTAATTTCTAATAAAAGTAATAGTTTAATTAATTTATTTTCGGTGAGTATAAAGTCCCGGACAGCTTATATAGTAGAATAGACATAAGTGTATAACAAATACATGTAATCATAAAAGTCTATTAAAATTCCTTAATGCAAGCGAGTATAACCAAGGAATCGTGCTTAGGGGCCCTAGATATGATCAGCGCAATGTAAGTCAATAATATAATTTGTATGGGAATGGTCATGTGACCACCCTAATATCTTTTTCATACAAATTGTATTACGATAACAGATCACGTCCGCCTCCAAGTATTCTAAGGCCCCTGACTGCGATTTATAACGACATTTATAGTGACATTGTGCTTTATCTGAAATATTTAAGGGCTGAGACTAGAAGGAACTTTTCTATAAATAAGTCGGAATCGAGAGCGGCGATGTGAGCAGCTCTGCCAACCAAAGCGCTTGCCGTGTGGGGCAATGCGTGCTGAACGTCATACCGTACCACGGCTACTGAAGACGCACGAGCTGCAAGTGGTGATACCATGTTGTGGACCTGAAAAGTCGTCTCCCAAATTATTATTTGGTAAACAGAGACTAAATAAATAAATAAATAAATATATAAAGTGTAGCTTTTATTTCATTTTACAAAGACTAGTGAACAAGAAATCGAATAGCTATTCGAGGTTAATACTGTATTTCTGAATTGGTTACCATTTCCCTGTAAGCTTGTCCCAGTAACGAAGTGTCCTTAGCAGCCGCTTTGCAAAGCTCAAGCCTCGCGGAGTGCAAAGGTACGTAACGGTCCTGTCCAGATCCACACAGCAGGATATGCTTGAAATGATGTAACTGACTCCTTTCACTCAGCCGATATAGAAATGACCGCCGAGGGTCCGATGCATCCCGCAGAGACAGTTGAAGAAGCGAGCCAGACTTCTTCCACTTTTGCATAAACCACATACCTGTAACAGGTTAGTTTAAGTCTTAAGTCTTATGATACAAGAAAAAGTCTAGATGAACCATTGCCACGATTTAAGTAGTGCCGCTGGATGGAGTGAATAACTGATTTACAATATTATTTCGATTCTAGCTCTGCAGTTACTGAACTTATAGTATGATTAATCTTGGAAGAAATAGGTAGGAATAGGATTCAAGAGTTAACTTTATACGTTTTTAAACAAATAAAAGTTCCCTTATCAAAATACTATATCTCACAAACTAATGTTTGTAAAATTTACGCAAGTGTCTTTTTAATATTAGTAGCGCCATCTATGTGCCAGCCTACGAACTTTTCAGCCGTTCGCGAAGTTTGACTCGCGATTGTTAAACTCCCAAACTTTTTATACAAATATGTCAGGGGTATTAGATAGACGCTAACGTCTAAATCTTTTGATAGAGTTGCACAACAGTTGTACTCGATTGCATGCAATATCAGACAGATGACAGAATATATAGGTAAGTATACAATTTTATTAATGAATATATTTACCTGCATTAACAAGTCCACTGGAGTTATACAATGTGCCCAAGTGTGGACCACTTAGAGAGAGGAATGTATGTAAACGTCCAAGGAAAGGTTTCATTTGTGGTCTAGCCAGAGCAGACCGAATTATAATTGTGCCTAAGGAATGTCCCACGAAACTCATTCGCGCTGGTTCACCGGCGTGCTGTACGTGGGTAAGTATTTCTTGAACTAGTCTGAAAAGAAACCGTCGGCTTCTGAATATGCAAATATTTTTTTATTATTCTCATTAAATAAGTTTTAGGAACAAATTGGATATTGTATTTTAATGTGTTGAAAGAAAAAAAAATATAAAATATAGTATAGGTATAACAAATATAGTAAATTCTGCAAGATCTTTCAAACTGAAATGTTTTTTTTACTAGCGTTAATAATAAAACATCTGTGTCTTCCAATGAGGGTCTTGGGCTTAACCTCATCATGCATAACAAAGTTGGTTGTATGCCTTTTTAGTACGAATTAAGAATTGTTACGAAGAGTCATTACTTAAGAGGGAGCAGGCCGAAGATCGACTTTCTTGGATACGGGGCAAAAAAATAGTCTATAATTTGCCTTTATTATTAGTAAATTTAAAAGTACTAAAAAGTATTTATATAATAGAACCAAGTTATCATACCTATCCGTCATTGTATCAAAATCGGAAAATGTATCTCCTTGATTTCGCTCCGACATAAGAAAGTCCAATCGGGCTCCTGGCAGACCTAACTCTAGGTAGGTTTTGACTAAACGCAGATCCGCAGCATTTCCATCCAACCCATGGACACAAACAATGATGTGAAGACCTGGAATTGGTAAGTAATGATACTAAAATATCTTGGAAACAGTCCAGTTACAATTAATTCACATTGGTTCGTGGTAATGTTCATTAAACTATAGGCCCTTATTCATAAGAAAGAAACCAGGCAGTAATTGTATCGTTTCTTTTTAACACACCGTGAACTTAATCCGATAGAAAGAGACGAAAGAGTACTTTAAATAAAGATTGTTAATTAGACTGATTTAGTTTTTACGAATAAATGTTAGTCCGTCTATTTAAGAACAACATGATACGTCCAGTAGCAATACTACGAGTACTCAGTCACTAAGAACTATGATCATTCTTCTTAGAGTTAAAGTGATTCGGCACCCTAAATACTTTTACTGGCAAGATGGTTTTTTTTTTTTTTATAGAACAGGGGGCAAACGGGCAGGAGGCTCACCTGATGTTAAGTGATACCGCCTCCCATGGACACTCTTAATGCCAGAGGGCTCGCGAGTGCGTTGCCGGCCTTTTAAGAATTGGTACGCTCTTTTCTTGAAGGACCTTAAGTCGAATTGGTTCGGAAATACTTCAGTGGGCAGCTGGTTCCACAAAGTGGTGGTTCGCGGCAAAAACTGCCTTGAAAAACGCTCTTGTGGAACGGCGGACGTCGAGGTGATACGGGTGGAATTTCTTATTCTGCCTCGAAATAGTTAGGTTGCTTATTATTAGTTAAATACTAATTAGGTTGGAATGCCTGACCAACTAAAAGCCTCGTATCAAAATAACTGTGTTTATATATATATACCTTCTGGGTTAAACATTCTGTACTCATCGCTGATATGAAAGTATGGCAAGGAATTCTCGACCGGTGGGAAGTCAGAATATATTGCACCAGGATATTTCACACTTTGCCTAAATTCATCTCTACATTTTACAAACAGTCTTTCCGATTCCGCGAGGCCGAATATACTCACTAAATTGCTTTCACGCTCTGAAAAATAAAAACAAATTGGTTTTTTTATCTTAATTTATCGTTATCTAGATATCTAGATCTAACCGTTATTGGTTTAGCTATTTAACCACGAGTAAGAAACATTCACTCAGACATGCCAGGGGTATGTATGAGTCAGAGTGATATTTGGTTTTGTAATACGGAATTCAAACTTAATACTAAACTTGACTTTTACGGTTTACCCTTAGTTACCATAATAATAATGAAGACAATATTGTATTGGTACAAATTCTGATACCTTACAACAATATTCTTAAGAAGTTAATACTAATTTGCCAATGTTTCGGGTTTTATCTATGACACTAATTATGAGAATGTTGATATTTTCCACCTTACCAAAGAGAATGCGAGTAAACATTTGAATAGGCGGGAAGACTTTGGGTTTAGCAGTAACAATTTAGTTTTTTCTTTGAAAAATAAAGTATTATTCTTAGTTAAATGTTAAATTTCAGTTTTTTTTCTCTTTTTGCCTATTAATGTACTTATCTGTTTTGGCTCGTTTACTCGTATTGTCTAACGCCCGAACCCAATAATTAATGCACAATCTCAGATTGAAAACAATCTGAGATCAGACCGTGACATTCGATCGATCTCCTTTATATAATCCCAATAACCAAACCCTACGAAGACAATCCATTTTTGGCGACGGATAAAATGCTCTTTATCGTTCCATTTTACCGAGTTTTCACTCATATTTGATAATCAATGTAAACCAAATAAAGTGAATAAAACCGTAAAAATAACATTAAAATATACATGTGTATGTTAAAAATATAACAAACAATTTTTTTAATTATTAAAAAAACTGATGTAAGTTAAAATCTGTTAAAATAATTAACTGTTGAAATCTAGCTTTCGTCAACTGTCATTTTCATACAAAGGTCTATCCACAGACACCGATACGACCTCCCATGGATAGCTTGTATCGACAGATGGCTATTTTTAATCTGTCGAATGATTATTGGCACACTTGGTTCAATATTTGGATTAAGATTACTATCCCAGATGGTGGATTATAGATTGAGATAGGTTATTGGGTTCGGGCGTAAGTGTTTTGTTTTATAATATGTATGTTATCTGTAAGATTACTAAGAAATAAATACAATTAGTCGTTATCTGTTTGTAAAGCTGTAAAATTATAATCGCAAAGTTTAAGTGTAGAAGCTTATTTGTGTTAATACTTGGTAATTACTAGTTACCTTTATTATTTTCATTTCTCGAAGCAAGTTCTCCCGTACTTTGACTTTTATTAAGAGTGCTTGTGGCTGAAGAGGCTGACACGTTTGAAGATTTTTGAGGCCGTAACTTTCTCCTCTCTATTATGCCTGGAAATATACAAAAATGTCATACTTGCATAGTTACTAGTTACATAGTTACTAGTTAGTTACTTATATAGTTTACTTGTATGGTGGAACAATACATTTTGTGCTGACTGCTGTCATATATTTTTTTGTTTTGCTTTGCTCTGTATCATATTTTTTTATTAGTGAAACTTTCTGTGGATACATCCAATGTGTTTATTTTATGTTTTATTTTTTACTTTTTTCATTGTATAGAGATGTATCTGTTTTGTTTCCTAAATAAATAAATACAGTCTGGTGTGTGTTGCGTACACAATTAAACCGATAATAATTTATTTTAAACTAAACAATATTTTAAGAGAGACCTACCTTCACAAACATGATATAGTGGGTTATCTAATTGGAGACTTGGTGGCTGTTCCATTTTTTTGGATTTGGATGGTGTGGACGACTTACTGCTTTGACGGCTGAGCATTGGCGATTTTGACGGAGGATCCTAGAAAATATGAAGTGAATATATTATTCAGCATAGTTAAAATAAGTACGAACGTAAAGAGGTAATAAATTAACAACTACTGGGTTTTGACTTTTGACTTGCGTTCGATTTCATATTAGGTATCAACATTAAATTGATATAAATTTAAAAGCAATAGGTATGCATTCTAACATAACAAGTATCAGAATCCTATATATAAAATACTGTTTAAAATACCTTAAATTGGTCCGGAGGAGGCGGGGCATCTCTAAACTGCTGAGGGGGTGGCAAATGCTCATAATCATTGTCTCCTTCAAAGTGGCTTAAATTTAGTTCCGATTTTGCTTTACCCTGGTACTTTTGGACTGCTGCAATTGGACCACCTTTATGTTTCTTACAGGGTCGGCCAACGGTCAAACTTCGGATTTCAGCTGCAATTAGTTTCTCTGTATATTGTATCCTGTCTCTCAACTTTTTATCTAATGTATTTGATGTTTTTGGTTGTGGTTCAGGCTTTGGAGGAAGCTCCTTTCTGTTATAAGGGTGTAAATTATCTGCAATTGTTTGAGATTTTTTCACAGCCCCTTCACTTGATTTTGAAGTGGATGCATATGATTTACCTTGAATCGCACTGAATGAATTATGTCGTTGATTAACTTTAAGGCTTACTTCTGAACACTGCTTGCAAGCGGCAGGACAGGTATCAGATGTACAGCCTGTATCAATTCCATTACTTTGCATTACCTTATTATATTCACACTGACTATCGGTGCATATTGAATCACTACAAATTGTACACTCCTCACATACTTCTTTATCACAGCACTCTATTTTACCCTCTGGATCATTATCTTCAACTTTTACTGCTAATTTCATTAATCTTTCTCTTAGTTGTTCGCCATTGAGGACACTTCTTTTAAAGTCTCTTAATTTCTCACTATCTCGTTTTCTGGCCTCAGTGGGAGTTTCATAAATTTTATTACTTTCTTTTGGATTTACTCGGTTTCTAGGCGGTGCAACGTTCTGGTTTACACTACTACCATTATCCGGAGATGATGGAACCGAACTTCTTCCGCTTGAGACCCATCCGCTTTGTTCACTTAAGCTTGAAGTAGAACTCGAGCTCACTTTATCTTCTTTATTAAGAAAATTCTCTGGAGGCAATATCTTAAAATCTTTATCTGTGATATCTAAGGGTGGTGAATCAAATGCAGCAGGTGGTGGTGCTAAGTTAGGAAGTGATTCAGACCCAAACGTATTATTCAAATTTGGTTCATCTAAGACGGATGCTGCACTTCTACAATGTCTTAATTCATTGCCATGATCTAGGCTGTAGGGAACGCTGGCTGAGGATTCTAAACGTCTTAATTCAAATGGTATACTCTCGTCACTCGACGAAGATGCAGCTTCCGACATAAGTTGACTCATTTTCTCTGAAGGTTTATGTTTGGAGCGTTTATCAGGTTTTCCACTTGACCTTCCACTCCTTGGTGTTGCTAAACCAGACTTCGGAGTAGCCCTGCCTGATTTGGGCGTTGCTAAACCAGACCGCGGAGTAATTCCACCAGACTTAGGTGTTGCTTTACCTGATTTTGGAGTAGCTCTATCGGACTTCGGAGTGCTTCGATCTGATTTAGATGTATGGCGATCTGATTTACTATCTCTTGATCTTATAGAATGGTGACTGCTTAACGAATCACGACTAGAGTTTATTTTTGTAGTTTCTTTGCCTGCCTGATTTGGTTTCGATTCCTTTGAGCGACTTCTTTTTTGTCTGACCGAGGCCATAGTTGAATGTGGAGTTGATGGTGGAGTTTTTGAATATGTTGATTTGGATGTACCATCACTACTTCTATCTAAAGTCATCACAAACCCACTATCGTCACTGCTTTTACTAGATTTTTTATGATAGTTGTGAATAAGACTTCCCGTGGTAAAATCATAGCTCCAATCACCTTTTTGTAAATAGTAATTGAGTTCGTGTCTTAGTTGATTTCGTGCTGCTTCAATATCTATATGTTGAGTGTCTACATTTTGCTGAAACACATGCGTAGAATTAGATCTATGAACATGCTTACTTGATACTAAGTTACTTTGATCAGTCACTTGAATTTTACCACTTAGCGGTGGAAAAGAACTACGCGGAGGCAACATAGGACGGGGTAAATTTACAGAATAGCCTCTTTGAAATTCTAGCGGATTACGAATACTATTACTAACTTGCATTGTACCCTGATTACCGAAAGCATAACCGTAAATTTGGTTTGAATTCGACTTGATCGCTCCATTATAATTATATTCTACGCTATGAAATACATCGTTGTTGCCGCCATGGTTGTTGAGCGTACATGGGTTTTTGTATTTTTCTCGGAATTCACTAATATTTCTTCTATAGTCGTCACCTTTAGAAGCACATCTTGTGGTTGTACTAGTAGGATATGAAGTAGTAGTTACACTTCTAGGAAGTGTGGTTGGTTTTGGTTGCTGCGGGATTGCGTACGTCTTAGGATAATTGACTGATGCATTCGAGTTATTTCTAACATTCTTAGTCAATGTCTGAACGCTTAGTGGAGTCATATTTTGTGATATTCGTAGTTGATCCAACGATTTACTGTGTCTCGCAGGCAAAGTGCTAACTCCACTTGTTATTTCGTGCTTTTGACCGAGCACTTCATTCCGATCTGATTTATCTTTGCCCACACGCGTATTTGCGTTTTTTGCACCAGTAATGTCTAATAGAGTTGAAGCGGAATATCTTGATAATTGTTGCCCTTGTTGGATCGAGCAAGAAGAAAAAGCATTATTTGGTGGCAATTGAATTTCAGTGATTTTATTATTTTGAACTATGTATCGGTTTCGCCCTGTTATTTCTAGATTTTTATTGTGGGGTTTTGTAGGTTCTACTACGCTTTGTTTTACTACAGTTCTTTTGGGTGAACCACGTGCAGATTTTTGAGGAGCCAAAGTTAGCGTTGCTTGTACGACGTTGGAAGATGCCTTCCCAGTAGTATATTGTGGTTCTAACACATCCATATTTTTCGGTAGTGTCAACGTCACTCTTGACGCTTCAGATGAAGGCCTCCTTGAATCCATCATGGAGCTAACGCTGCAGGCACAATCTTCTCCCACCGATTCGGAGCATAAAAATGGATCTGAAAAAGTATTAAATTTAATTACGTATTTAAACTTAATTATTAGAATATTGAATTAATTTAAATATTTACCACTGCCTGATTTACTTGCACTAGAGTTCAAGAAAGATCGCCGTCTAGCAAATTCTGCTGTGTCTTGATATCTGAAAATATGTATTTTATACGGTTTTTTTTGACGTTTCATTCAAAATTGATGTACCTTATAAATATGTCCAACTTTTTGCATATTATTAACCAAGTCATAATTACATCATATCTACAATTAACTAATTAAAATCTATAACAAAAAAACAATAACTAACCTTAAAATATAATAACTAAAATATATTATTAAAAGGAGTCCCTTTTGGCATGGTTCCGAAGATACTGGCACCGTTCCCTTTTTGAATTGCTAGACTAAATCTTTGTCCGAGGTAGCTGCCAGCTCTTCTGTCTCATGTGATGTCGACCAACCTTTTTTTTACCTACTACCTTTTCGACCATACAAATTAACGTACAAAAACACAAATAAATTAAAAATACTAACCGGTCTTCAAAAATTATGGGCATTATATGTGGGTCGCCATCTAATGCTATGCAATGTACAGGCAAAGGTGGAAGCAGGGCTAGATATCGGGATCTTCGCGCCATATCGCCTACACTTTGATATGACTGATAATTACTATCGTAGCAACCTGCTAGTGAGTGCCGCGGATTGTCTAGCACAAAGAAGCACTCGGCGAATCGCTTGATACTGTAAAAAAACAATCATATTTAAAATATAATAATTTATTAAATAAAAATGTTCAATTTTTATTATCTTTATGTAGTGAAGGTAAAGTTATTATATTTGTAGATACGAAATGAACATGAAAATATTAGAATCATTATTTTTACCGAAGAGCGTGATGTCTAGCAGCTAGCGCATGATGCACGTGTGGTCTATCGGAGGTATGGTGTAAGAATGCACGCCATCTAAGCGTTACCTCAGCACATAACCTCGCTATGTCATGTGCTGCCCCCGTCGCCCATTCTTCTTCTTGTCCAGCATCTGATTTCTGAAAGGAATGTGATGACGATTTCATTACTCCATTATATATAAATAATATAGCATTTTTATTTTGCCTGAATATATAAAACCTTTAAATATATCACTAAGTAGCTTTAATCTTTAAATAGCTTCATATTCTTTTTGAGAACATCATCTGCTACACATAGTTCACAAAATTCAAATCTTTTACCTTACAAAGATCGCCGTTATCTGTCATTCTTTGAGCGACTTCGTCGACAATGGAGTTAGATGATTCATCAGGAGTTAACGTTACTCCGGTGGAACCACACACAGCTAACGCACTCTGCAAGCCTTCTAATGATCCAAGAAGTATGCCACAAACTTCGGCATGCACTTGTCTGAAATCATAGAATTTTACGATTAAATTTAATGTAATTAAAAATAGTAAACCTAATAAAAAAATAGTCTACACTCTTTAAGTGTAACTAGTACTCTTGCTATACTGTGTAAATTGTGTATACGGTGTGACGAAAAGATACAGATTGATAATTTAGCGAAAACGGTACTGACTGATTTACTTTTCTATATCTATATCTATACTAATATTATAAAGAGGAAAGATTTGATTTTTTGTTTGTTTGAAATGAATAGGCTCCGAAACTACTGGACCGATTTCAAAAATTCTTTCACCGTTGGCAAGCTACACTATTCCCGAGTGACATAGGCTATGTTTCATTTTCAAAAAAAATAGGGATGCTTACTATAACTTGAATAATCTAACCCAAGGTGTAAAAAAATAAACAAAAAACTTCCTTCAATCGCGTGCGAAAACTATTATGTATTTCAGAACACATCACTATCTATAAAAAATGTCGCAATAGCATGTCTCTATCTTTTATAGTTACGTCACAATAAGTGTCCTTTTATTAATTTTTTTTTATTAAAATACCACCGCTAGAAAAGGCTCTTTATTCGTACCTAGATCAAATTGATCCTTACCAAAAAATAAAAATATATATATATTTATTATGGAACATAAGATACAGGTATCACTTAAACCACGTCATTAAATTTGAATCTGTTGGCACCTCTACTCATCGGCAAAGAAGACAGAGGGCCGAGAGAAAAAGCCGGCGTAAAAAACTTTCGGTACTCTTTTAAAATAGCAAATCATCAAACAACACTTATTTTAAAACAAATACCGTAAATTAATTAGAAGTAGCCTGTCTAGCAATAGTCCCAGGCCATTTATCAACTAGATAATCGTTAACTTTATAGTAAGCCATTTTACACAGCTTTTCTTTAATACATTTCTTAAATTTATTAAAAGGCAGAGATAAAAGAGCCTCTGGGATTTTATTAAAGAAGAGTATCCCTTTTCCCAAAAAAGAATTACTAACTTTAGATAGTACGGGGAAATTGCAGCCTGCGTTTGTTCCGAGTATTAACATTGTGCGTAATATATTCTATTCTAGTAAACTTATCGCTATTTTTGTATACATACATAATATTTTCATAAATATATTACGAGGGAATATTTGGTTGAAAAGCCAAGCTCTTAGCCCTGAAGTGACTCGTTTACTCGCCGTGTATTGTTATTTCTATGTGCCTATTTAAAGCTTGGCAAAGGCAATGCCACGCCATGGGGGAGGGAGGGGTTAAAAATGTTAAAAAACATCACGTGATTAACGGACAGCCCCCCGAGTCACTTAGTTGCTACAGGCCTTTACCCATATACAGTTATGTTAAAGCATATTGGAAGTTTATCATTATTGTTTGGTTTCAATAGGAAAATGAATAAAGATCTACCTGGCATGTGCAATTTTGCTCGAATTCCCACCAGCACATTTCCCACCAGAACCGAAAAGAATGTTTTCAAAGCTTCCAGAAGCGTTGAAGCTTGCTCCTGCGTTTTTCATCAGTTTACCCCATTGTTTGCTGGAGCGTGGCGTACTAAAATGTAAAATATTAAAAAATTAGTTTCTTACAGATATGAAATTCTTTTGCATTAATTATCATGCAATTTACGCTACGATATATCAAATATTGCAGCGTTGTTGGCCTAGTGGCTTCAGCGTGCGACTCTCACCCCTGAGGTCGTAGGTTCGATCCCCGGCTGTGCACCAATCGATGTCTGTCACATCATCACACATCTGTCTATGTGCCCATTTAACATTTGCACGAACGGTGAAGAAAAACGTGGTGAGGATCACCTGCTTGCCTATTAGATTGACAAATTATCATAAAACAGATACATAAATCTGAGGCTCCGAATTAAAAAGGTTGTAGTGCCACTGATTTATTTTATATCCAATATTTATGATAAAAATCTCTGTTTATTAGAAAATCCTCATTTATATGTAGTGTAAATGTAAGTTCAAATGTCGACTACTATATTCGGCCACTCGCTAGGTGAAGTTCGTGTAGAAATCGGCCCGACTTTATTTAGACAATAGTAATACTGTGTTTTATCCCTATAACTCCTTAAAGTCATATAACTATATATATATATATATATATATATATATATAGTTATATATAGGTATATAAGTTACTAGAGAGTGCTTAGCTATGTAGTCTTTTAAATTTAATTAAGAAACCTGTGAGTAACAGACAAAAGTTATTAAAAAGCGTACTTACCAACTTTGAACATAATGCATGATGCTTTTCCTGAGAGACATGTAACAAACGAATTTCCTGACATTTATTAGCTTACAAAACTGATAATTAGCATGCAAGATTAGGTTATGTGATGACTTTTCATGCTGAAATGTAAAAAAATCAAATAAATTGAGAATCTTTCGACCTCGATGTAAAAGTGTAGGTAGGCTGAAAAGTTCGTATATATTATACGTATATATGTATACAAATACCTTTTGTAGTTATTTTATTTTATTAAAATAACATAAACGAGTTAAGAATTTTGATACGTTTTACTTAATTAGACTTACTTTATATAAGGTTGATGCAACGCGACCAGGCTTGCATGGATGGTGATAGAGATAGCTGACAGGTGGAAATAGTCGAACAGCACAGGTAAATGATAATGCAAGCCGTTCGAAGGTTGGAAGTGGAGTTTCAGCACGCGGCAGGAGACTGGTGCTAAAGTGCTGGACTGGACACCTTCGCTGCACCACAACTCCACTCCGAGGCTCCATTCTGCTCTCTCTAGAGACTCCTTCAGATTGCGACTGTCAACTATAATAGAACATATTGTATATTTCTGATTAGATCAGCTCAAATATAAATGTAACTTAAGTCCCGATATATGCCCGACGGCTTTAACGTACATCTTTACTAAAAAAAAGTGCGTGCGTACAAAGTACACATGTCAGAAGTGAAACTTCTTTGGCAAACTAATTTTTAAATAACAATTCTTGTTCCTATTTATACAAATCTAAAACTTTAGATTTCAGAGACTTAGAGGGAGGGAAAAAGGAAGATATGTTAGGAATTTAATAAATTTAATTGTCATTAAAATATTAAAAGTGCCGAAAATTAATACAAATAATAAAAAAAAAATTATTTATTTCTTCGGTAATAAAAACACGTGGCCTTTTAATTTACAATTCGTTATTTGAAATTTCAATAAATTTCACTTCAAAAATTATTTTCTTAATTAGATAAAAAAAAATTGGAAACTTTTATACAATTCTCGGGGTAGTAAAGTAGTAAAACCCAATAGTTACGAAGTTTGAATCTTCTTACATTAATTCTTGATTTCATTGTGCCCTAAATCTTTGTAGTTAATTTTATGTTTTCTAAAACGTTTCGTGTAACCGAGATGTCACTGGCCTAAATCGTGTAAGATTCATTTTGCATATTAGGTCATCCTCTGTGGCGAATTGCCAGCAATTTCATGAGCAGATATATCATTCCCCGGCTAGTGTAAATTTCTTCAATCATGAAAAGGTTGTGTAATCATTAATATATGCAATTTATTATTATTTCATGATAATATTCATTTGCGATGGTTTCGAATGTTAGTTATTTCGACTATGTATTTGCGTATTGTTCCCACGAGAATGTAAGTGCGTGCTCCTATTTCACCATGTCTCCCGCTGATAGAGGACAAAGCTTTGTTTTTAATTTATTTTATTATAATAATTAACTATTAATTGCTTAAAATTTCATGTGGAACGTAGTGTAATGGTTTCAGCTCCTTAGAAACATTGTGTAAAAAGAGTGGCGGAGAGTTTATTGCAAGTTCTTCTCTTCCGTTCTACATCCTTGATTTGAGAACTGGCAGTGAATGTAAAGTTAGAAGCTTTTAATGTATATTTTATTTTTGTTCTACGTTCATAAGTGTACATTGTTGTTACCTAATAACCGTAACCTAATAAATGATTTTGATTTGATTTGATTCGAAGACACAAGAAGAACCGAACAATTATATTAAAAGTGGTTAAATTATTATTAAAAATTAATTAACAATGGTTTATTATAATTATTAATTAAAGTGAATTAAATTTTTAATAAAAAACTAACTCTTCGTCAAGTTCTTTAAAAAGGACTCTAGATGGAGTGACATGAAACCAGGCGGAATTGGGTAGTGGGTTTGTTAACTCTGTGAAATGTTTTTTGGTATTTGAATAGAAGATTTAGATCTTCAGAGATGTAATTGGATGAGATGCGACTGGAAAGGTCTTATTACCTAGCAAATGCGCTCTGAAGTGTACAATGTCCCGCAAAGTGATCTCTTCATTTCTGTACATAATCTGGAAGGTTCTAGAGGCAGCCAGGCCTCCAATGAGAGAGGCGGCAGCTGCCGGCCTCCCCGTCCTCGCCGCTCCATTGCCGCTCGATACAGTAGCTTCAATCTGCACCGGTACTTTCGGCGAGACTCGTAAACCGATGCGAACTTGGTAGAACCTGGAACAGGGTTAGTATTGGTAAAGTTTGCGAGTTGTTTGATTTAATTTCTTCGATTATCGGGTATAGAGCAGTGTTGACCTAGTGATTTCAGTGTGCGACTCTCATCCCTGAGATCGTAGGTTCGATCCCCGACTTTCTTTCTATGTGCGCATTTTACATTCGCTCGAACGGTGAAGAAAAACATCGTGAGGAAAACGGCTTGCCTTAGACCCAAAAAAGTCGACGGCGTGTGTCAGGCGCCACTGATTTATTATTGGGTTATTATATAAGCACAGAATTCTTAATGTCTTGTTCAGATTTTGTATTTAAAGCAGTCTGTGATATTAGAAGATTCTTGCTAAAACTACCTATGTTACCTGCATGGGTAGTACTACCTAGCCAAGCGGTTTTGAAATATTTGGCTAGCTCCGAGATTACAGCTGATATGATCAAGCCAACTAAACCAAATCTTGCTACACTATTTTGTCATGTGAAATGTCCAACGTGGTGATTATGTTATCATGGGAACATATTGGTACAAAGCCAATCTTGACTATTATTGTTTAGTATCTATGCAAGATGCGATTAATATTTATTTTTGATGTGAAACCTCTATAGCCGCACGTAAAACCGATTTCTGCCGTGGCGACGCATGCCGTGGCGACGCGCCACGCTATATGATGGTATATATATACAGTCTATATGCAGTAGTGTGTACGGTGTTGTGTATTTGGAAATCACTGATTAAACGAATTAAGTAGTCACGATTTGAAATAAAATCGTAAATTTTTGTATTCAATGAAAATAAATGTTTATTCAATAATAATTTTAATTTTATATTTTAATTATTCAATAATAAATGTTTAGTCATCGTTAACTGGAAATTTTTTTTTTATATTTTATTTTATCATTATGATATATATATTATATAGTTATCACAAATCACAATCGGTTCTTTTCTGCATATTACTTTTACAAAATAATGTCGATGTTTCACATCTGCCAGGCGTCCCGTGACGGCTCACATTTTTTTATTTATTTATTTATTAAAACTTCGTTGCAGAAATAATACAATTGACACAATTAAATGAAAAGGAGGGCCCACTGGCGGCCTCATCGCTTTCGAGCAATCTCTTCCAGGCAACAACTGTGGAAAAGGTATTGAATTAGATAAGGTGATAGAAGTGCAAATAAACATAATAAATATTGTTATTTAGACAAAACAAATGGAACAAAAGAAAACAATTAATACTTATGTAAACTGTGAACAGGACAATATTAAAAAAAGGACACATAAAAAAGAAAAACTGCACATGAATCACGATCATTTTAGATCAGTTTCACACCAGTGAGTACGAAAGTTAGGGATAATATTTCTACGAGTGAAGCCACCCAAGTCACTAGGGTTCTTTTTAAAAGAAATAAAAATGATCTAGTTATTGAGAATCCTGACACCTCTCATAAAGATAAACAACCCCGAGCAATGACACCTTGGAATGAAACAATAAGTCATTAAGAACAAATGCACATTAAGAAACAATAAGTCATTAAGACTGCATTCCTAAGATGACACCAGTGACCACCGGCATTCTACCCCGCGGACGTCGCATCTTTTGTATATAAGCAGAAGACTCGTGACAACTGGTCATTCACATCACCACCTAGCACTAGGCTCTAGATAATCTTAAGTAATTTGTGTAATCTTTTAAATCTTAAGTAAATTTGTATATCTTTAAAATAAAAAGTGTAATCTTTTAAATAAAGTTTTTTTAAATATCTCACACGTTGAGATATTTTGACTGGCGCCCAACGTGGGGCCCAGCAACGTAATTTCTCGTCGCATAATAAATAAATAATTTAACAACGCGATCATCGATCCAGTTGATTTCAACGACCAAGGAATTACGAAGTTTTCTTAAAAACGAAACGCTGGGTAACACAAGAAATAAATAAGTCAAAATATCAAGAGGAGAAGTGAAGAAGGACATGTTCCGGGAACTACTACAAGGTCTTCTGTAAGTACCTTTGCATTTTAAATCCCGTCAAAATTCCTTTCTTTCTCAAACCTCCGACTTTTGTATATAATAGAGTAAGTGTTAGTGATTGTGGTGTGAATCACCCTCCTTCTAGTAGTGAGGGTAATAACAACTTGCTCCATAGTGTGCCAAGTTCATTAGATAGTAATACCAACTTGCTCCATAGTGTGCCAAGTTCATTAGATAGTAATACCAACTTGCTCCATAGCGTGACAAGTTCATTAGATAATACTAACTTGTTCCATAGTGTTCCAAGTTCATTAGATTTTTTAAGTATACAAACAAAAAAAGGATTAGAAATAATGGATCCTAAAACTTTATTAGCATACGTCCCATCTTATAATGGTGACCCAAACAGATTATATAACTATTTAAACAGAGCAAAACAATGGTTAATGCGCGTGGGAGGTGAGTCCCCAGATACTACTATGTTACTTATAAGTAAGTTAGAAGGCAAAGCAGCCGCATGCGTGAGTATGATGGACCATGAATTAAAATGGGCAAACATAGAGGAAATATTAAAAAGTGAATGTGGTGATAATCGTGAACTTAATACATTATTAATAGAAATAGTGAATTTAAAACAAAAAAATACATATAGTGAATTAATTTTTGAGTTGAAACAAAAATTATTTTATATGAAAAGTAAGTTAATGGATACTTATAGAGATAGGAATAGGGTAGAAGATATGATGATACCATATGTTAATGTAGCACAAAATACTTTGCGCAATAATCTTCCATATCACGATCAAAACTTTATTTCAAATTGTAGTTTTACAGAATCTGTAAATCGGGTATTAAATTTTGAAGCAGAGGGAAGATTTGATAATATAAAACAAAAATTTTCGCAAATTTTACCTCCACCAAAGATTATACAAAATTATATTAAACCACACTATCCGATGTATAATGCAGCGGGACCTAGTTACCAGTATCCGCGATCGTATAACATACCGCAACAACATTCGAGACATGTTTATCCACCAACACAAAGGTCAATTAATCAAAGAATACAATCAAACAGACCAAATAATGCTTGGATACCGAATCCAAATAATGTATTTACTAAACCTAAACATGATTACTTTAGGGGTCAACAACAACATTATCCTAATCAAAAGTTTCAACAAAATCGGTTGCCAAATGAGACGACTGATGTGTCAATGCGAACGGCTCCTCACCTTAGACCGGGGCAAATAAATTTAGGGAAAGGTATGGTAGCGGAAGCAGTTTTCTTCCATGAGGAAAATATGGGGGAAGATGAATATTATGGATACCCTCATGAATACGAGGAATATAGTGAACAAGCAATTATTGATGAATCCTCAGAGGTTATTAATGAAGAAAATTTTCAATCGGAAGAAAAAGTAATAAAAAAATCATAGAGTTTAATCATGTTAAATCATATTTACCATATTTCGAAACAAATAATCCAAAGTTAAAAATTTTGATAGATACCGGTAGTCAACGTTCTTTTATTACAAAAAAGGCTTCGGAAAACTTTAGTGAATATTATAAACCAGAGAAATTCACGGTGCGAACTTCTCATGGTGTAACACATCACGATGGTCTAATTGAAACACCATTTTGGACAAAATATTTTGGTGATGTAGATAAGGGTAATATGAAATTTTACGTATTTAATTTTAGTGACAAATATGATATTTTAATGGGTACCGACATGATAGAGCAGATAGAAGCATTAATTGATTTAAGGGAAAGAAAATTAATTTTACCAGAAAATGAATTATTGATTTTTCATATGTCTGATGACAACTTATTAAACATTAAAGATTTATGTAAAACGTATAGTGATTTGTTTACCGAAGACGTAACAAATAGCGCAACAACTTCAATACGTCATAAAATTACGTTAATAAACGAGGAACCTATTTATCAACGACCATTTAGGTTACCACAAACTCAACAACAAGAAGTGGATAGTCAAATTCGTAAATTATTAGACGAAAACATAATAAGACCGTCCGAATCTCCATGGTCATCTCCGGTGCATTTAGTTCCTAAAAAAATGGATCAATCAGGTGTTAAGAAATGGAGAATGGTAATAGACTATAGGCGATTAAATGAAGGAACTAAATCCGATAAATTTCCTTTGCCAAATATAGAAGAATTATTTTCAAAATTACAAGGTAATAATTATTTTACAACATTAGATTTAACTTCAGGATACCACCAAATATTAATGGAAAATCACTCTATAGAAAAGACAGCGTTTAGTACACCTAACGGTCATTATGAGTTTCTAAGAATGCCATTTGGTTTAAAAAATGCACCAGCAACTTTTCAAAGAATGATGAATAATGTATTAAGAAATGAGATCTCGCATAATATCTGTTTAGTTTATTTAGATGACATTATAGTCTATTCAAAAAATGAACAGGATCATATAAATAAATTACAACAAGTTTTTGAAGCGTTACGAAAAGTTAATTTAAAGTTAAACCAAAACAAATGCGTTTTTATGAAAGAAGAAATTGAATTCTTAGGACATATTTTAAATAAAGATGGCTTAAAACCAAATCAGTCTAAAATAGAGGTCATTCAAAAATTCCCTATACCAAAAACATTAAAACAAGTTAGAGGATTTTTAGGATTGATAGGATATTATAGAAAATTTGTTCCTAATTTAAGTAAAATTATAAAACCACTTACGGAAGTTACTAAGAAAAACGCTATTATAGATATTACAGATAAGAAATATATAGAAGCATTTGAAAAATGTAAACATTTATTGAGTAATACTCCTATTCTAGCTTTTCCCGATTTCGATAAAACCTTTGTTATAACTACAGACGCTTCTGATATCGCATTAGGTGCTTTATTAAGTCAGGAAAATCATCCGATAGCTTACGCATCGCGAACACTGAGTGAAACTGAACAAAAATATAATACAACAGAAAAAGAATTATTAGGTATTTTATGGGCTGTAACACATTTTAGACCTTATATTTATGGAAGAAAATTTATATTAAGAACAGATCATAAAGCCTTAATATGGTTATCAAAATTAAAAGAACCAAATCAAAGGTTAACTCGTTGGAAGTTAAAATTACAAGATTATGATTATAAAATAGAGCATGTTAAAGGTAAAGAAAATTATGTAGCAGATGCCTTAAGCAGAATACAATTACACCACACAAGTGAAGACTCATTAGCTGTACAACATGACGATGACAATAGATCATTAAATACTACACCAGTAAATACAGACACTAATTCTTGGGTGTCAGATAAAGACAATAGGTCATTGAATAACACAATACACTCTTGTCAAGAGAATAGCGATGGAGGCATACCAATTATTAATAGTTATCCACCCAAACGGTTAAGACGTGTAGTGTTTGAAGTTGCTCCGTACAAAAAAGCAAATTATGAAAGAGGTATGTGGTATTTTTATATTCCACCCAATAATGAAGAACAAATTATTAAAGAATTTATGTTAGAATATTTAAGTAAAGATAAATATGCTTTTATCATACCTAATGAAGAATTATATTATAAAGTTACAGAAGTTTATAGGAAGTATTTTGATCATAATAAATTTAAGCCAGTTAGGTATACAAGAAATTTAATTGAAATAGATGACAAGGAAGAACAATTAACATTAATTAGAGAATATCATTTGTTTGAACATAGACATGCTGGTATAGAAAGTGTATATAAACAGTTACGAGATAAATATTATTGGGAAAATATGCGTAAACAAATAAAGAAATATATTTTAAATTGTGAAACATGTAAAAAGGAAAAATATAACAGACATCCTAATGTATCTTTATCTTTAGAAACAGAAACTCCTTATGAGCCTATGGATATATGGCACATTGACTTCATGTCTTTAGAAGGACAATGGTATCTTACAGTTATAGATAAATTTTCAAAGTACGCTATAGTCAAACCATCCGAAAAAAGTAGAGTATACGACACTATAGCAGAAATTTTTGCGTTAATAGGTACACCTAATAAAATTATTCATGATGGTGAACAATCAATGTGTAGTATTATCATGCAAGAACTTTTTAAAACTTATAACATTAAAGATTATACAACTACACCTCAACATCATAAATCTAACTCAGATGTAGAAAGACTGCATAATACTATTCAAGAACTATATCGTTTACAAAGAGATTCTGATCTAGAAAAAAATCAAAAAATTAACTTAATAACACATTCCTATAATAACACGGTGCATAGCTCCATAAATATGACACCATTTGAAGTTCATTTTGGAAGGAAAGCAAAATTACGTAGCTTTGATAATCTCAAAGTAGTTATACAAAATTATACAGCTCAACAGCGGGAATTTTCAAAAAGTTTAAATAAAAATGTTCATGAATTATTAAAACAAGGTAAAGAAGTCAGGAATGAACGAATTAATAGGAAAATTAAAACCCCTAAGATTTATAAAGTAGGTAATGTCGCTTATTTAAAAAATAGCATGGCAGATCGGCATAAAACTAAACCTAGATTTTTAGGTCCATTCACTATAGTCAGTGTAGAGCCACATAATAAGTATAAATTGAGTAATGGTCGATCATATCATGTTGAAGAACTAAATATTGTTCCAGACTCATCTTCTTCGTCACAGCATTCAAGTTCAGAAAATTAACTCCATCAGAAAATGTAATTTTAATAGAATCTTTTATAACAGTAAATAGTCGAATTATAAATCAGATAATATACTTTGTTATTAATATACCATTAGTTAAGATTCAAGTTTATAAGTCAAGGAAAATTGTTCCCATTATCCAAAATAATCCCTCCTGTACCTATCCTATAATGCAAAAGGTTACTTTAGCATACAACGATGAAGAAATCTATGAAGTAGAGGACTGCCAAAATTTGGATTTTCAGATATGTAAAGGAAATTTAATTAAAATCAATACGTGTGAGTCAGAAATACTTAACAAGAAAGAAAGTGACAAGTGTCAAGCTGTTCCAATAAAATGCCCAGTTCAGGAAGTATTTCAAATTTCACCAAAAGCAATATACATGTTCTTTAATAAAACCACAGAAGTAAGTGCAAACTGTAATAATCACCAAGAAACTTTATGGACAAAAGGATCAAACATTTTGTACGGTGAAAACTGTGAATTAAATATTTCTGGTATAAAAATGTTCAAAACCACAGAGTCAAAAGATAAAATGATAATTGCTAATATTGATATTCCAATGATAGAAACTGCATCAGAAATAGACATTGTATATGACGCTACAAAAATCAAGTCTAAGCTGAAGCAACTAAAAACTATAGATTCTTTTAGTGAACACAGACAACATGAAATTATTCAATATAGTTGGATCAGTATTATAACTATAATAATTGTCATTATAATTCTTGTTAAAATTCTCAGATCCAAGGTTTGGAAACCTAGGACTTCGAATTTGGAAGGGGAGAGTGAAGCCACCCAAGTCACTAGGGTTCTTTTTAAAAGAAATAACAATGATCTAGTTATTGAGAATCCTGACACCTCTCATAAAGATAAACAACCCCGAGCAATGACACCTTGGAATGAAACAATAAGTCATTAAGAACAAATGCACATTAAGAAACAATAAGTCATTAAGACTGCATTCCTAAGATGACACCAGTGACCACCGGCATTCTACCCCGCGGACGTCGCATCTTTTGTATATAAGCAGAAGACTCGTGACAACTGGTCATTCACATCACCACCTAGCACTAGGCTCTAGATAATCTTAAGTAATTTGTGTAATCTTTTAAATCTTAAGTAAATTTGTATATCTTTAAAATAAAAAGTGTAATCTTTTAAATAAAGTTTTTTTTAAATATCTCACACGTTGAGATATTTTGACTTACGTAAGCAGCGCCGATTTATTAGCTTCAAAGTAAGATTAACTTTAAATTTTATAGCGTTAAAAATGCCCTTCAAAATCCTGATACCGAGAGATTATGAAACCTAGGCTTCTTATTATCCGATCTCATAAA